ATTAAAAAGTTTAGCTTGGAATGGGTTTTGAAAGATTTGGTAGAAATGTGTCGTTAATCTGTGACCGTCTTGTTCGGTTAAAGCACATCTTTTCATATGTCTCACTGTTTTATATACCATTCATAATATATATTAGTGTTGCTTTTATACAGTAATGAACACTCCCCTTGTATAAACTGGTTCGTTTTGGTACCGTTTTTTTTTTAGTTGCTTTTCCAGACTGTCGTAAACTTCCAGCTATTACCAGTTCAAGTTTTGTTCTTCTCAAAGAACCAATTAAAAACTGGTCAACCTATGATGGAAATATCATCACACGTGTATTAAATATTTGTACTTATAAATGGGAAGAACTTGGGACTTTTTAAAGAATGCAGCAGTGATTTGGAGCCCAAAGATGATAGGAAATATTAATTTTTGTCCAGAATGTTCTGACACACGTATACACAAATTACTCTGATTGAAATACGTGGATACACGCAACCATCGCGATATTTACATTTTCATTTACCTTTTTATACAGTGGTAAAGCTTCAATCGACCTCGGTGCCTTCAAAGCGAAGCACGTGTGTGCGCGCGCGCTACCTATTTATTGGAAACAGTCGTATATGTCCACGTGCGTACCTGTAGTAAGCTACTAACGTTATAACTTGTCTATCTGTAGTTTTAGTGAATGTAAATAATATAGATTTTCTATACCTTAATCTTGACAAAATACCTGCTGTGAAACACTCGCGCTCTCCGCTGATCTTTGCCGATCACCTAACGACCTATGTTCTGGATACACTTTTGTTTTTATTTATTTTATAAGATGCCGTGAAGATAATTAACCTAGCCTATGAATAACAGGAACACCTGGCGGTTGTTATCTAGTGCGTAAATGATACAGAAGAATTTGCTGTCGATAAGATAGGGCTATCAGATGGTTACTTGTATCCACTAAGATAGGGCTATCAGATGGTTACTTGTATCCACTAAGATAGGGCTATCAGATGGTTACTTGTATCCACTAAGATAGGGCTATCAGATGGTTACTTGTATCCACTAAGATTGGGCTATCAGATGGTTACTTGTATCCACTAAGATTGGACTATCAGATGGTTACTTGTATCCACTAAGATTGGGCTATCAGATGGTTACTTGTATCCACTAAGATAGGGCTATCAGATGGCTACTTGTATCCGATAAGATAGTGTTATCAGATGGCTACTTGTATCCGATAAGATAGGGCTATCAGATGGCTACTTGTATCCGATAAGATAGGGCTATCAGATGGCTACTTGTATCCACTAAGATAGTGCTATCAGATGGCTACTTGTATCCGATAAGATAGGGCTATCAGATGGCTACTTGTATCCGATAAGATAGGGCTATCAGATGGCTACTTGTATCCGATAAGATAGGGCTATCAGATGGCTACTTGTATCCGATAAGATAGGGCTATCAGATGGCTACTTGTATCCACTAAGATAGGGCTATCAGATGGCTACTTGTATCCACTAAGATAGGGCTATCAGATGGTTACTTGTATCCGATAAGATAGGGCTATCAGATGGTTACTTGTATTCACGGGATTTCTAATAGAAAATCCAACAGTGTATACGCAGGTTATGTAAATATATTTTTACTAAATGATGGCGACCATAGACAATATATTTTCAGTCCATCACACCTCCAATGCAAGCCTAAAAGAGGACTCGTATATCAAATTATAAATACAGAATTTGTGCTTTATTCTCATGCAACGTCACGTACGTCTTTAGATTCGCAGCCTTTACGTCCTGCCAATGGTATGCCTTTAACCAAATCTCGGAAACAAGCACATAAAAAGTTTTTTTTGGGGGGCTCAAAGTTGCACAATGATCTATCTGCACTGTTTCCATCTTTATACCTCACAGTGGTCTGTCTTATGCCACGGGGATCAAACTATAAATTTTAAAATTATAAGCCGGCTATCTTTCCGCTGAGCCAACGGGGTGGGGTGTAATGTAAGTAATTTTAGCATTATCTTATTACAGGAGGGGTGAATATTGTAGGTGCTATTTAGTACCCAAACTTTTCTTTTTTTGCCAACGTCTGTATGTGAGAGATACGCGATATATTTGTGGTCGTTGTCGTGCTTGATAGCCTATACTTGTGGTATTTAGATACGAAAAATGTCTTTATTTTTTAAATTAATTTTCATAAGTCATTGTGTCATTTTTATAATTGTGTTTGTTCACGGATGCCTTTCGGTTGCGATTTAGAATAATTTTCAATATTGTTTTAAACCGATATATAAAGCGCATGGCGCTGTTGTAGGAGTCACGTGGTTATAAACATGCCCTTCATGACGGCAGCAGGTTCTGGAGTAGTTGATTTAATGTATTGTTGGGGAGTTGAAAAGGACAATAGAAACGAGGGCTTTTTCTCATCTTCTGTACAGACAGAACTAACTTCACGAGGATCGCGTGGTTTCGCTTTATTTGAATAGTTCTTTGTTCTGAATGGTATTGAAAAGTTTAATGGACGTCTGTTACAAAAAAAAAAACTTTTGTATAACGTCTAATCAGATTTGCCTGTACTAAATTATCGTTTTATGTTCATGGTGATTTAAAATTTGAAAGTTCTTTAGATACAGTTTAAACTGTTGGACAATACTGATTTCTAATTTAACTTCCTTCAGAGAAAATATCTGATCATAGATTCGAGATCAATGAAACCGAATATTTTGTGGGTTAGGGTTTGAAACTGAGTTCATTAATTTGTACTGTTTGTCGTGCTTCTTACATATATGTTAGTATGTTTTGCAAAAGTGACCTTTGGACACAAAATATATCGTTTTCCAAATGTCATGGAAGTAAAAACAAGGAAGGCTGTGATATTAGATGAAATGTTTTAAGTTACGATTATGTGGCTAGTATCTGATTCGATTCTCTCAATGTATATCTATATATGTATGAAGTAATGTAAGTAATTATGGTAACAGATGTGGTACACATAGATGAGCCAGAAACAATATGATAAATGTATTAAAATAGATTAGAAAGTCAAACGAGTTGCAATGCATTAATTAGTTGTCTGGCCGCCTTTTGTTTGACTTTCTCAGTTTATACATAAGGTCCGTCCAGTTTCAGGGATGTTCATATCGGGAACTTGTGCAGGTCAGGACAGCTGTGAGCATTTCTCCAGACTCTTTATCGTCAACATATTATTTCATCTCATTTGCTATAGGCTTGTGATCATTCATTGTCTTGCTGTAAAATCGATCCTCGCCCGATGAGTCTTGTTACCGAGATGAAAGCAGGATGGATCAAAATCTGCCTGTATTTGTCAGCAGTAAGGGTGCCATCTTTTTTGTATAGAGCACCAACTTGTACTAATCCCCCACTATAGATGTTGTATGCTGCTATGATACGGCTTTTTTCTCTACTGCGACCAGGCTGTCGTTGATTGTTGTCGAATAACTTGGATTCATTTATCTCTAGTTTTGCTCATTCCACTGTTTGTGGCCCACTTCAGTCATTTGGTTTGTTTAACTCTTCTCAGCAGCAATCCATACCTATCTCACTGCTTTCAAAGTAGCATTCACGCCAGTATTGACAGCGAGACTGTTAGTAAAATATTGTGTACTAGTCGTAAAGAGCATAGCTTTAGATACTTAACATAACTTTTGGAGAGTTTTGGTTTTCTGCCTTAACCACTTTTATTATTACCAATGCCCTTTTCAGTGCCTGGCATAAAGATCACCCGGAAACAGTTTTTTACATGGGAAAGCTTTGACTTATAAATACTCGTCATGCAGTACTTCAGCTCTTGGAGCAATGACTGGATCTACACTAGTAATAGTGGCCATTGACTGGATCTAAGCTAGTAATAGTGGCCATTTACTGGATCTACACCAGTAATAGTTGCCATTGACTGGATCCACACCAGTAATAGTGGCCATTGACTGGATCTTCACCACTAGTAGTGGCCATTGAATAACTGCCTGTACTTTTATAAGTTTTGGCAGTTTTTGATTGGTTGATTGACAACCAATCATAGCGTAAACGTGACTGTACTCGTTGTCACACTATTAAAAAGTTGGCATTCCCATAGTATTTGCATTTTTACATTCTTTTACCTTACAGTTTCCATGATTATTTCCAGTATTGTGTGTATAGATAGACGTTTATAGATATATAAAATAAGTTAGATTTATCACAGAGACAGAAAGAGTGAAAATCTAATAAAGATGGTTGTAGATCTAGAATAAACAGAAGTTAGTTTTATGACTGCCTCGTGACACACTGCCTTGATTTTTATTTATTTTTTGTTGTGCGTGTGTGTGTGTTCTGAAACTGGTTCGTTTTATTAACGAGGGGATTTATTTAGGTTTATATCAACTTTTTAAACACATTTTCCGAAACTTAATATCCTCTAAATTGCTCGTGGGTTTATTTTGTTGGTTTATAGTGTCACAAATATATAAAAAAACATACTAAAATTAATTATGGTTGGGATCCCTTACGTATATTATATAGATGTTAGTTACCGTCTTTTTATTTGGACAGAGCTTAACATCCCGTATCGTATCATAATTGGCTATTTATTAGTTTTTATCGCAAAGCCACACAGTAAGCTATCTCTGCTCTGTCTACCACGGGAAATCGAACCCATGATTCTAGCGTTGTAAGTTCGTAAACTTACCGCCGACCCACTGGGAAGCTCGTAATTGAGTAAAACATAAGCTCACTCAGTATGTGAACCCATCGTTAGGGAATGGTGTACAAACAACTCAGTGATTTGAAGATTAAGTCAACCCTCTGTTTCATTTGTTATGGTGTGTACTAACTGGTCTAAATTCTGGATTAGAGTACTATTTTCAAATCTCTAATTTTATGAATTTTTGACACTACAATTGTTATCTATAACATGATATAAGTGTTACCATTTGTTATGGAATGACGTGGGAAACATTGTCTCTTTTGTCTAAGTTTAGATTTTGTTTATTCTTATATTTATCATTTTGCTTCGTTTAGGATACAGCAAATGTTCCATCAGACTCTGGTGGAGGGCAAACCACCCCAATCCTGAGGGCACCGAGCACACCTCCAAATTCCCTAGGACAACAAGGACAGCCTATCCATCAAGGGGTCTCGCCACACAGGCCGGCTCCTTCTCCTTCGGGGTCGTCAACAGGATCGCGGTCAATGTCTCCAGCAGTTGGTAAGTTTATATTATGAGGTTATCTTCTTCAGCTATTTAATATTGATGTTAGCATACTTCCAGTCTGTCTCTGTATTAGTTGGATTTGTATTCCAACCCCATGATGCTGTGGATTTATAAAGATGGAGACGAAATAAATTATTGATCTAGTATCGGTGGTATGAGTGTCTAAGACATTTCAGCCTACTTAAAAACAGTGAACTATTAGATATACAGAGGGTTCAACTCCCCGACATTAATCATTTCTTGGTCCATACAGATTTTAAATTGTGATTTTAATGTAACTTCAAGACTAAGCAAGAACATCTGTGCACAGGTAACTCCGTACGCCTGGCTTTTATGTCGGAACTGCAGCCTATAAGCCACTTACCGTAGACTTGATTGGAAAAATATTAGATCTCGTGTCTTGAGCACAGAAATTGACGTAAAGATCAATGAAAAGTGACGAATCTCACCAATTGTTTGATTCGATTAAAGTGGCTAGGGCTTGACAGCAGGAGTAAGAGTCGTCTCGTGGGTCTCTATTGTCTGGTTGGTAGCCATGGATGTTGTGTTGTGATCTTTTTCCACTGTCTGCATAGATAGTACTCAACAGAGAAATACCATTCGTTTTTTTTATACCATAACAGGTGCTGTGTCCAACACAGTTACTGAAGGTGTTCTAGTAAAATAGATTTTTGTATTTTTTAATACTTCTTCCATGTCCACCAAAACTTGTATACTTTGGTAATGTTTGCTTATGTGTAACTCAACTAAAACTCCACGTTAAAAAAACTTGAAGCAGAATGTTATAGCTACGTTACGTACATATTTAACATTTTATATTGTAGCATGTATGTGTTAGATTTGAATAACCCAAAGAACCGTTTCTGTAACTTGTCGTTCAGAACTGTTGATATAAAAGTCTGAACAAGTAGACATGTTACACGTGTACCAAAAACCCTTTAGACTACAGTAGTTGAACGAAAATGCTTGCATGCAGTAGACAGCAGAAATACGTGTTATTTCAAGTATTACCAGTGGGAGTTACAACAACGACCTCTGTTGTTGCCAGTATCTACGTATCTGTTGCAGTTAAGTTTAATTTAATTTAAAGCTCAAATTGCCAATCTGTTTAGTTTTTAATTCATTTTAAAGCCAAACTTTTTTCGGTCATTGAATGGAAGTTTTAAAAATGTTCGTATTTTAATCTCTTTAAAAAACCAACAAGCAAAACGTTTTAAAACATCTGTGAATTTTTCACATTTTATCACTTTAGAAACAAAACGATTTTAAAAATCACTGAAACGATGGTTGAAATTTTTTTATTTATAATCACCTAATAATGTTTTTTAAAAATCTTTGAAAGGACTTAATCACTTTAAAACATAAAAAAAACAGGGGAAATACGATCGAAAACTTTCATGTTTTAATCACATAAAAACAAATAAAACGTATTTAAAAATCACGAAATACGTAAAACAATTTCAGATAAAATATGATATCCGTGAAATGAAATACGGAAATCTTATGTAGAAAATATTAAATAATTCAATAAGTTGTTTATCAAATTTGATCATAAGAAGTTCATAATAATTTATTTACTCAATACATTTTCAATGCAAAAAGCCGAAAACTTCGGCTGATTCGCGTTACTGTGAGAATAAAAACAGTTACGGAGTGCTTTCCGAATTTATCAGAAGTCAAAGTTTTTTGTTTTTTAGCAAATCACTTGACCTTTCCAGTTTTGCATACCATAAATTGTTCGGACATCCTTAATATCAGTCTTTATATTGCAATACTTTTGACCTTACGAAAATATATTTCCAAGGCCTACTGCATGTTTATTTTGATTAAGAATACAAAAGCAGCAGTGTACGGTTATAACGAAAATTTATGCTTGAATAACTAAGTTGTAGGCACCCAGACTTCTTTCCAAGAAGCTTCAAACAATATATTTGTTGCGTTGGTAATGTTGGTTGTTGCTTGGAGAGCACTTGCTCGTTTATCGAACAAATATTGTTGAAAAAGGCTTTTACATAAATTCGCATATATTATCTGAAAATATAACTTTACCTAGCAACTTTGTACATTAACTTGGAATACTTCAGAAACGTTTCTTTCTACAAAACATTAGACTTTCTACTAAAAAAATATAACATATTTTATGACTTGTACTTGAAAAACTGCGAACGGGCGTCATTGTAGTACCGTAATACACCGTTAGGATTAGTGTAGTGGGAATAACTTTTCTTTTTCGATTATCAAGCACCTGGCGCGTGTAATCGTGTTTTCTTCCTCTTTTTCTACACCGTAACAGAACGGAGTGTTTTTTACATAAACATTAGGTTTATAGTACTGACGTTTAGAAATTATTTAGTGAATTACGATACAGTTTATGTGTCAATGAAGAACAAATAACGTCACGTGTTTTAATATTTATGGTTAACGTAAGTGAATAAATAAGGTTATTATTCTTGAAAGGAACGTGAGTGTGCAGTTACACTAAAAAAAAAAATGTAATAGAAAGCGCCAGTATAATATAATTGATTTTTATTTTAATAAAAGTTTCCCTTAGTTCAAATGAAAGTGTTATCTTTTTTAGCTAATTTTGGAAGCTCTTGGATAAAGCCTGGTTGCTTTGTAAGTTAAACCTTAAGCTGTATTGTGAATTAAATTTATAATTAGGTATTAACATTACTGTGTATTTCAAGCGTTAAGTTTGTTACAGAAAAACTGAAGATATTTTTGTAAAATTTCAGTAAAAATCAACGTGACAAGTCTGTAGTTTTTACAAACTTCAAAATGTATTTTTCTCACATAACCGCTCCTATTGGCTCAGCAGTAAGCTTGAGGGCTTATATCACTATAGGGTTAGATTATTTCGGTAGGCACAACGTAGATAGCTCATTGTACAGCTTTGCCGTTAAATAAAACAAATTGACAAATTTAAAGCGCATAAAAGAAAGCCAAGATCGTTAAAATAAATTCACTTATATAAATTATTAGTTTGATGGACTTCACCATTCGTAATTTCAACGTTAGTACTGTCATCGGTTTTCCAAAGACAGGACTTGGTAGAAATCGCGTGTCAGTTTAGTGTTATCATAGGATATAAAATATTATAGTTGTATAATTGGACCAAATAGTCTTCTTGCAAATACAATAAATACAATGTTTATCGTTGTTTTATGACGACTCAAATTGATAACGTTTTAATTAACTTAGCGCTGGATAAAATCACTTGAATTGCAGGTTTCACATGTCATGTTCTTCGACTTTTTAACTTATACGGAGCTTCAAGAAAGAGCTGTACAAATCATATCTTGAAGATATACATTTAATGTAATATGTCAGTTTATTAATGATGTATATTAATGTTGTGTAGAAAGCGATTTCACTTAGCCTCACCTTTCACGACTCTATATACATTAATAAAACATCCCCAGTAAACGCCATAATGATACAAGGTGCAGTTATTAGGATACTCACTCTTGTTTATGATGTTATCAGTTTAAATGAGTGTAATAACGGCAGCTCCAGCTCTATACTAGTCCTACTTAAGTGATTAGAAATCCATGTTTGTTTTGTTTTGGAGTCTGGTGTTGTAGACGTCACACCCATTGACAGCGTTATACAAGAAAACTCCCACACAACCCATTATGTATCTCTGTGTATATAAATATAGAGAGATGTAGAGGCAATGCCACTAGCAGCTGACACCGGCCATGTATTGATACATGATGGTGGTATTATATCTGACCTTGAATTAAAGATAACAAAACATTTGAATCACAATAGATACAAAAAAAAAAGCACGAGGTTTTCCCTACTGTTGTTTAATTTTAAGTGAAAAAATTAATAAACGTTTACAAGGTTTATTATTAAGTTTTTTCTTCTTACTGGTTTGGGATAATTGAATTTGTTTATATAGTATTATTTAGTAAAATACATAATTACCAGTTTTATCACTATATTGTAATTTTACACCAGTTTTAGTATTACTGTAACTAGCTGTTTACCATAGATATTACTACTGGCAAGGGAATGCAATTATCTCATTTTTGGAAAAACAAATTTCAGAATTGATTATTTTATTGAAGTTATGATTTATGAAAAACCTATTACAACATCAAATAAATGTTATTGTAATTTTTTATATATATATCCCAAATCTGTTAGTAAATCATGCTTAATTTTTGTTTGTTTGTTTTTTCAACAAATTTAAACCTGAGATAAATCTGTCTTCAGGAAAACTTCTAAGCAGTGGGTAAAATATTTTTTGAAATTATCATTAGTGATAGGAAACAGAAGTTGAGACCTTTGTCATGATTATTGCTTTATAATCTAGAAGAAGTAGCTGTAATAAAGAGATTTATTTGTAATTAAAAATTGTTATCAGTCGAGAAATTCAAGTTTTTCTTTGTCTGTAAGTTAATTTTCAGGAATTTTTTTGGTTTTACAAACCAACATATTAAAGCTAATTACTTTTAAAACTCCAGGCAATCAGCAGAGCCTATCCATGCCTCCTAGACCATCCTCTGGCCAGTCTGATGGTGGTGGCACTTGTAACCAGATGACCCTACAAACAATGAACAGTCAAGGTAAATCAAAAGTTTATTGTTGTTTTATCAATACTGGTTGAAACCAGAAGACCCTACAAACAATGAACAGTCAAGGTAAATCAACAGTTTATTGTTGCTTTATCAATACTGGTAGAAACCAGAAGACCCAACAAACAATGGACAGTCAAGGTAAATCAACAGTTTGTTGTTGTTTTATCAATACTGGTTGAAACCAGAAGACCCTACAAACAATGAACAGTCAAGGTAAATCAACAGTTTATTGTTGCTTTATCAATACTGGTTGAAACCAGAAGACCCGACAAACAATGAACAGTCAAGGTAAATCAAAAGTTTATTGTTGTTTTATCAATACTGGTTGAAACCAGATAAACCTACAAACAATGAACAGTCAAGGTAAATCAAAAGTTTATTATTGTTTTATCAATATTGGTTGAAACCAGATAAACCTACAAACAATGAACAGTCAAGGTAAATCAAAAGTTTATTGTTGTTTTATCAATACTGGTTGAAACCAGATAAACCTACAAACAATGAACAGTCAAGGTAAATCAACAGTTTATTGTTGCTTTATCAATATTGGTTGAAACCAGATAAACCTACAAACAATGAACAGTCAAGGTAAATCAACAGTTTATTGTTGTTTTATCAATACTGGTTGAAACCAGAGTAACACATCAATTAAAAAAACAAAAACAGACTAGTATAACAGGTTGGTTCAGTGTGAATGGATGGACTTTTTGTTCATAATTATCTAAGTAATACCAGTCTTGTACCACAATTTATCAGTATGTATTTAAACCAGATCAAATTTAAGTAAGTGTGAAGATAGAAAACTTTACCTTGACCTTTTGATAGTCATTGTAGCTAACAATGGTGTTGAGTAATATAGGACCAGCTTTTTTGTACAATAATACTGTAAATAAGGTTGATTTAAATGGTTATTATGCCTACATTACCTGCTTAAAGGAACAATGGATAATTTTTGTCCTTTAAGAGATTTTAAGCTTCTATAAAAGAAGGAAATATCGGGAAGTACTAAACAGGTTTTTTTACTGGAATTTTACAGATAGAAAAAGTAGAAATTCCAAAGCTGAGTAATATCTCTTAAGATGAGAATAATTGTCCTTTAAGGTATAGTAAAAAAAACCTTGGCTCTTAAACAAGATTTATCAGAGACCTTGAAGTAGGTAAAATTCATGGGTGGGGAAGGCTGTAACTGTTGTTTTTAAAAGTATCTTGACACCAAGAAAATTCCTGATGATTGGAAGATTGCCAATTTAATTTTTGTTTTTGAAAAGAAAACATCTTGTGTAGAGTAGACACGTGAAACTTTAGGCCTGTTAGTGTGACTTCTGAAGTTAGCAGGAAGTTGAAATCTGTTCTCATAAATTATCTGGAAAGTTTAATTCTCAGATCTCATTGTAATTTCAAAACAGAGGTTTTCTCATAAACTCATGTTTTTAGATGAGTGATAACACCCTGATTGATGTTTAGAAGAAGTTAATGTTTACGGAAAGGGAGAAAGGTATAAGAAACTAAAAAACAGTGTTTAAAGGTTGAGAGATAGGGAGGTGATTTTTTTTTTTGGTTAGAAGAATGTGATTATAAGGGTTTTCGTGAATTTGTTTGGGGAATTCTATTATTCATTATTCATGCTAATGACTTGGATATCTTCTAAAATAGCAACATTTGTAAATTTACTGAAGATGTTATAATGGTGGGAAAACTACTACGTATGTCACAGTTTTCCAAAATGTGGAAAACCAGTAATGATACCGAGAAGTCTCACGATGTTCAAAAGTACACAGGACAAACAGTAGAAGGTTAGCATAAGAAAAGAAGACCTATAGCATGACCACTTCTTGAAAGTGTTTGGGTTCCTTTTCTGATCAGAAGTAAAGTTATACAGATGGGGCAGGGCTGGGTATCACCTGCAGCTCAGTGTGCCCAGACTGTGAATTCAGAGACAAGCTGCTATAATGATTCCTGGTTTAAGTAATTTAAACTTCCAAAAGTAGATGTAGTTTTGAATGTCCTTTTATGGATGGATTATTTGTGTGGTAGAGTGAAAAAACAAACTTAAATACTAGGAGTAATATGCTTAAACTTTGCAATAGTTATAAAATTGTAAAATGGTGTTTGATAGGCATATGTATGTGAAGAGTTACATTTAATTTCTTTTTATGCAATTGCTTATTGGTTGATGGCCCAGAGATGATCTGATGAACTAGTGACTTCTGATAGTTTTATGTTTTTTCATGCTTTAAAGCATTATGTTGTGGGTAATGAACTTCAGATAATGCTGTATCTTCGAAACATACCAGTACTGATTAAAACAGTAAACTAGTCCATGCTTGCTATTCAAACCAAGATGATAGTATTCCTGGTCAGTGATATGTTAATGTAAGCTGGTGCAGTTGGTAAGACTTAACAAATCTCCTTTTCAGCCATGAAATGATATTTAAAGTGATAAAACAAGATGTTATTATGTGTACTACATCTGTCTAATGTTGAAGTCTGTTAGCTTTTAAGACAATGAATTACTTTGTAAAAACCTATATAAACAATATAATACAAAATAATAAAGGTGCTTGGAATGTTCTCATTATCTAGATAAAATTTAGTTGAGGTATCTGATATTAATTTCTAATGTAATACTATTCAAGAAAGTGTTCATTTTAAATAGTTTTGTTGCTATAATATCCTATATTTTAATATTGCTTTAGGAATTAGTCAACAGATGGCAACACCTACCATTTATATGAACAAGATGCATCCTAGCATGATGGGAAGTGGCAACACATTATCAGCTTATCATCAGCAAGGAGGTATTTTTTTGTCAATGCCTATAATTTTGATATGTTGTTGTTTTTGATTAGTGCATAAAGCAGTTTTTTAAAGTAATTTATTGAATGTTTTATTGGATAAAGAAATTAATTTGAATATTGGAAGTACTTATTTCATAAGTATTATGGGTAGTCTTGAGATTATACCAATTTTGCTATTTAATTATTGCTACTAACTTTTCAAAAGACTATTTTAAGATTGGTGGGCCATTTTAAGTTATACTCACTAATGCAAGTATATCATGTAATGATTTTACTACCAAGGTACAAAAAATTAGGAAATTTATTAAACAAAACACAAGTTTTACAAAATATTGAATTGGTGTCTGGCCAGGACTTTGTAAATAAATAACTCAGTCTCCAAATATAAAAACAAACTTACAAAAAATGCAGTGTTATCAATATAAAAAATCACAAAGTAATAATAGTAGTAATAATGAATAAGGAAAAAAAGAGCCAGATGAGGAAAACGTATAATTTGTAAGTACATTTGCACTAACAACATGAGACACTTCTCAAAGAAATAATGTTAGATCACAAATAGAAGGTCAAGTGAGTACTTGCAATAATATATTTTAATAAATAACATATCTTTCCTATCACTGTTTCACAAATCTCTAAACCAATGTGTCATCTAATTTCACTTAATTATCTAGCCAGACCATGAGGTTAAATACCATGTGACTAACTGCTTAACATTTATTTTATATAATTAATCATGAACTTAGTACTCATACATCACCAGTAGGGGAACCATGTGTTTGTGTCTTAATATAAAAATAACATGTTTAATGTACACAATTTTTAAGACGACCTAATATCTAGCTGAATTAAATGATAGAAAGAAAAATACGTAAATGATAAAGAAAACTATAACTAAAAGAAAGATAGAAATTGCTACCTAAAATTCTTCTCCTTTTGAAAAACGAAGAGATGACAACAGTCACTTCATAAAATTTCCCAATTTTCATCTCATTTTATTAAGTACCCTTTATCCATCTCTGGGAATCCTTTATAGTTTAAGTACAGGCTCTTTACAGAAGCTTTTCTTTTCAAAGTATCTTTTGTGAACCCCAGAAGGAAAGAGACATGACCACCAATCTCAGCATTGTGAACCCCAGAAGGAAAGAGACATGCCCACCAATCTCGGCATTGTGAACCCCAGATGGAAAAAGACATGCCCACCAATCTCGGCATTGTGAACCCCAGATGGAAAAAGACATGCCTACTGGTCTCATCGTTGTGATCCCCAGAAGGAAACAGATATGCTCACTAGTCTCAGCATTGTAAACCTCGGAAGGAAAGAGACATGGCCACTGGTCTCATCATTGTGAACCTCAGAAGTAAAGAGACATGCCCACTGGTCTCAACATTATGAACCCCAGTAGGAAAGAGACATGCCCACTGGTCTCAACATTATAAACCCTGGAAGGAAAGAGTCATGCTACTGGTCTCATCATTGTGAACCTCAGAAGGAAAGAGACATGCCCACTGGTCTCATCATTGTGAACCCTGGAACGAAAGAGTCATGCTACTGGTCTCATCATTGTGAACCCTGGAACGAAAGAGTCATGCTACTGGTCTCATCATTATGAACCCCAGAAGGAAAGAGACATGCCCACTGGTGTCAACATTATGAACCCCAGAAGGAAAGAGACATGCCCACTGGTTTCAACATTATGAACCCCTGGAAGGAAAGAGACATGCCCACTGGTGTCAACATTATGAACCCCAGAAGGAAAGAGTCATGCTACTGGTCTCGTTATTGTGAACCCCAGAAGGAAAGAGACATGCCCACTGGCCTCAACATTATGAACCCCAGAAGGAAAGAGTCATGCTACTGGTCTCGTTATTGTGAACCCCAGAAGGAAAGAGACATGCAGCAGGACATTATTATTTAACATGATGCAAGGATTGTTGTAAGTCAAGACAAAATAATAATGTTCTGCTGCTGCAAGGATTGTTGTAAGTCAAGACACCATGTTTCCTAGCAGCAGCAGATGGATTTTCAGATAATTCTCCAGTCTTTAAATAAGCATATATATATTTTCATAATCATTATCTACTATTTGTTCAGTACTGCTAACATTAACAGTAGCAAACAGTTTAGGTTACAAGACACAAGTCTAGATTAGCAGCATGGCTGCTGAGAAAGTGTCTGGTAATTAATTCAATGAATAACAGTGTGTAGTGTAAGATCTATAGCTTTAAGGGCCAACAGGTTAACCTCAAGGTTGTCAGTAACCATTTCATTGTAGCATGTTTGGTAACAACTCCAAATTCTTCTCCATCAAAATAAATCTTGAATTTCTCTAAAGTGCAGTCTGTAGCTTAGAATTCTAACTTTGTACCTCTGTAATTCATTTCTGCCAAAGTCTGTGTTTGACTAACATATGCTATGACACCATTCTAACATAGAAATGCTCCCTTTCCAACATTTGAGGCATCTGTATATAGAAAAAAAGTGTTGACCCTTCATTTGAAGTTGCAAAACTGGGGCTGTTTCTAATTCCATGTAACATGGAGCTGGGATCCTATTCCACTTGACCCATTTTCTCCTTAACTAGTATTAGTGTTCAGCAATTATAGCAAGTTTAGAAAGAAATTTCTTATATCAAGCATGCATACCACTCTTGCCCCTTTAATGGCCTTAACCACGAGTCTTTAAAAGATAGTGGGTATCACTTTGAAATAATTAAAGTTCATTATCGGTTATAAAAGAAGTTTTAGGCCTACTCTCAACATTTACCGATATCTGCAAATGTCTACTATATAAATCTTAAAGTGATGAATGTCACTCATAAGAGGCCTTGGTCACCTGTCAGTTTCTGTAGAACTTGAAATAAGTAGTGTTTTTATAAAAATAAAAATTGCAGAAGCACAAGAAGAGGTGTGTGTGGTGGGGGGGTCAATCAACCCATCACCAAGCATTTCATTCACCTGTTCATGAAGCTTTTCTGACTGGGTGAATAATGATATGGTTTTTCTAAGTATTGATTTTACACTGATGATTTTAGTGGTATGTTCGTTCAGCAACACCTGAAAGTCCAGGTTTATCATTAAAGATACTAGCAGAAACGCCTCCCTATGGGCGGCTGTTTGTGCTGGTAATTACTAATCGTAGTATTCATACCTCATTGAAAACAGTTTAGAAAAGTGAACGTTTTGTAAAAAAGGATTTTTCTGGGAGGTACTGCACGGGAAAAGTGTTCAGATTTTGCTGATATAAACTGTAATGTTTTTATATATTTAAAGTGGTACTTTTATTGAAAAAATAAGTTTTTTTAAGAACTCTTATTTTTTAGTATTGTATTTACGAATTACCTCAATAAAGATATAATCAAACTCTCACATACAATCCTAGTGAAAGTCATGTCCTTGTCGTGAGGAGAGTACTTTTATATAAAGTTGTGTTCTATTATAAAGAAATGTACGTACCGTAGTTATTTTACTAATTGCCTGAATCTTGAATACCAAAAGTATGAAATTTTTATTTGTTTTTGTTTATGGTGCCATTCAATAGATGGTGCCACATTGTATTTATTATTTTGGTCACATACATATATATATACACACTATGTCCGTTATAGTAAGAAGATTGGCATGCTTTAATAATGGCTCTTAATTTTTCACTTTCATTTCTATTTTAATGCAAACATCACATCCCTGTGTTTCTTTATAATTACAGTCAACAGAGAGCGCATTTATTTCAAATGAAATTTGTTAGAAAGTCTGTATCAATTTCTTCTTTCCATTGGATAAAATCTAAGCCAATGAGAAATTGTACTACCAAATTTTTTACAGCAGGAGTTGATTGGACATCAATAGCTTAGCCAGGTAATGTCAAGTGTTGACAATCAGCAAAACAAATCTCTCCTTTATTTCACTTCAGTAAATATAATTTTAGGTAGTTTTTCTTAATTTATTGCCATACTTGGTCGTTTATAGTAGGGTGATCAGTCCTAGTGTCTATTCAGTCCACTACTTACACATCATTAAGTATTAAATTTGACAGTTCAGTTTTAGTTGTTTCTTTTCCTTTGATGTCTTTCCATATTTGTGGACTACATTATCTTTTTACACATTCATCTTTATTGGGATAATTCATATATAAGTGGGGGCCTATTTGATTACAGTTATAACACTTTACGAAGTTTCTATGATTTTCACTTCCATTTGAGCAACTTTTGGCTTATGCCTAGCTGATCACCATTTATTGAATTTCAGCACATTGGCAGTAGAAGCAACGTAATGCAATTCAAGTTACTCTTTTAATAGAACACGTAATTGAAATATCAAACATTTTGCTGATTCTGTGTCAGTGGCTTCAGGATTCCATAACTTATATAATTTTACAGTTTTCCAAATAAATGTCTTGTGTTGCATTTGAAGTGTTCTTTCTACTGAACGGTTCTTGAATTGTTTCACTTTTATGTAACACAGCCTTCAAAAGCCATTTCTGATCCGAGTGATTTTCATCATTCTGGTAGCTCTCCTCTCAAATATGAGTCTGCAGTTTCAGCCCGTTTGTTCTCAGATGTTTGGTAAAGATCTTTCCAAACTGTTAATGGATTCATTAACAATGAGATCCAACTTACCATCAAATTTGCTGGTAGGAAATGGGTGGATGGTTGACTGCAGTAACTCAGAATAGTGTTATTTCCTCATGGTGTGTCAATGTTGACTGATGGTCGGTAGTTGTGTCAAAGTTAACATCTGCACTTGCTTGGTCAAAACTGCAACAGCTTAACCAATCAGCTTTATTGATCTCTGTTGTGATAGTAACTCACTACTTTTTAACTTATTGTTCCAAAACCAATCAAACGCCTCAGAGAAATGGTTCCTGTCCAGGTGTCGTTTGTAATGTATCAAATAACAGCATTACTGTCAAGAAACAAAACAGTTAGAAGATTTATGAAACAAAATACAAGTTTTACAGGATATTAAACACTAGAAATAGAGTGTCAAGTTAGTGCTTTGTAATTAAACAACTCAATCTCCAAATACAAGCACTAATACCTAAAAAATATAAAATAATGAAAGATTGTTTACAATAAGAATATTAGACACTTGTGAAAGAAATAATTTTAAATGACAAATGAAAGATGAAGCACGGATTTGGAGTAATAGCTTTTAACAAATATAGTATCTGATATATCACAGTTTTAACAATCTTAACACCCGTTGTCTTTCACCAATGTAACTTCCAGTTTTAAGGCTGTTTAATATGTTGTCAGACCATGAGATTATATGTTAGAGGACTAATCACATAACATTTATTGACATAGTATTCATACATTGCTACTAGGGGAACCTCGTGTTGGTGTCTTAATATGAAAATCATTTGTTTAATATACACTAGGAGACAGGTTTTTAAGGCAAGTGGAAATGTAGCTGAACTAAATTTTTGAAAGAAAAATACATAAACAATAAATAGAAATATAACATCAAAATATAACATAAATTGGTAACTCACAGTATTTGTCATTCAGTTTAAAAACTTTGATATGTTTTTTTCTGATTGATTAATAAAAAATACTACTACTACTAAAATTAATAAACAACCTTTTAAATGTTTTAAAAAATGTAAACATTTTAGACAGTCTTAAAAGTCAAAGTTTTAATATTTATTTAAGAACAATTCCTGAAATAAAAAATTTATATTTATATGTTATTTAAAGCATAAACAAAATAATGTAACTGTATATAAATAGCTTCTTGGATAGACTTTTGATTGTTGTTATGGTCCAACCCAGATGATCTTGTTACAACCCATTTGAAATTTGTTGATCTGTATCAACAATATCAGGCCAACTATATATTACTATTACTGGAAAGTTAGGTTCCTGACTGTTAGTGTAAGTGATTAAACAACTGTTTTTGTAAATTAAAATACCTTTTCTCATTTGTTTAGTATCATTTATCTTCCTTGCTTTTCATTAAAGTTGGCAATTCTGAAAATTTTCCACTCTGGCCTGACTTTCTCTGTGCTTTCTTAATATTTGTTTATATGAAAATTTTCCACTCTGGCCTGACTTTCTCTGTGCTTTCTTAATATTTGTTTATATGAAAATTTTCCACTCTGGCCTGACTTTCTCTGTGCTCTCTTAATATATGTTTATATGAAAATTTTCCACTCTGGCCTGACTTTCTCTGTGCTTTCTTAATATTTGTTTATATGATTGTTTTCCACTCTGGCCTGACTTTATCTGTGATTTCTTAGTATTTGTTTATATGATTGTTTGATTCAAGTTTTATTTCAAAATGTGATTCATGTTTTATGAGATGATTTAGAAATGTGGTATCATAGAATGTAAAATCAAATTTATAGAAGAAGATTATATCTGTGATATGAAAGTGGCTAACCACTACAAAGTTACAAGTTTTCTGGAAATGTAACTAAAGTCAGTGTGAAACTGTAAATCTGAAGTATGTGATGACTTTGGGTAGCTGTTATAATATAGTATGTTTTTTTTTATGTTGAAAAATTGCATTTGTCAAATAAACCAGCTTATGTTGATGGTTCATTTATGAAGATTTTGACTTTCATTTTTGGAATTTCTGAAATGTTCTTCTCTCTTTATGATAATCTAGGTAATTACCCTCGGTCTCCAAACTCGATAGGCATGGCTGGTTATGGTGGTTCAGGTCAAAATAGCTATCCTCAGGGTGGTTCTGGACATCCTAGTGCTTTGAATATGGGAAGATTGGCAAATCATGCACAAGTACCCCAAAACTATGGAGCACAACATGGTGGTGGGTATGTGAATTCACAGTATAACAGTGGTTATGGTGTGAACAACATGATGCCTCCACCAAACCAGTATCCTAAGGGTTCCCCAGTAATGGGACCACAAGCAGCCGTGATGGCTGCGGCAAGCTCGATTAATGCACGATCCCCACCGGTGCACCAGCGTCAGCATGTTCAGCAAAAGAATTATGGTAATATTGGATACAATAATATCCAATCTCCCCAGCAACAGACTCATCAAGGTATCCCATCATCAATGGCTCTCCCAGCAACAAATGCCTCTATGGATATCCAAGCTTCTATTCACCAGATGGCACTCCCACCAACATCAGAAAATTGTTCCCCAAGCTCAGTTTCTGGATCTAACATTCCACCCAACCAAGAAATGTCTAGTGTGAGCCATCAAGCTACCAGTAATCTAGCTTCTCAACATCACAGCAGAAACCGGTCCTCTCCTATGTCCCCAACAAATGCATTAATGAATGGTACTGATCGTTCCTCACCAGGTGGCATTAGCGGGTTTCATCAGACTTCACTTTCATCTGGTGGTGAGTATCATCAGATTATAGATTTGAATACTATTTTATTTCAACACACAAGGTTCAAAGTTAAAACCCAAGATAATAAAACACTTACAAGAATATTTTATGTGCCAAAAATCCTTAGTACCTATTATTGATGCTGTTCAGTGTGGTCAGTGATTATAATCACTAGTTTATACAGTAGGTTTCGAAAATGAAATGTGCTCTTTCCACACTTGTCATGAGGCAAAGCTCTGTGAGATACTGTCCAACTGATGAGAGTGTATGAAAGTGTCAAATCTAATGTTGGAGTTCTTGTGTCAAAGTTCCAAAAAAAAGCAAAGTTTTTAACAAAGTGGGAATGTGTGTGTGTGTGTGTGTGCATGTACTTGTTTTACAATTTGTAATTTATCAGTTCCTTATATTAGTGATTTTTTCATAAATTGAGAAAGTTCTGGAAAACAGTGGGATCCTATACAGGGTGAGGCAAAAGTAACTTGCCTCAATATTAAAATATAATATAAAAATTCTGTTTAATCTCAATGATTAACATACCCTTCTATAAGTATTTTAATTTGATTATTTTTCCTTGTATAACAGTTTAAAATAAATATTATTTCTCACGATTTGCATCAAATCACACTGTGTATCAGGTTGAATAGACGTAACAGTTCAAATAAAATTTTTTACCAATAAGCTGCAATCACACACACAAATATTTCATGTGTAATGGGTTCCTTATTTTTATAACAAACATTGATTTTTTTTTGCAATGATCTAGTTGCATATCTTTTAGAACTCTAAACAGAGCTGTGAGGATTTGTTGATAGTTTGTAAAATATAGCATTGCAGTTAAAAACTTTTGTGTATCGATAGAAAAGGATCACTTAACTAACTCAGGAACTGTCTCAATCCATATGTACCAATGTCACGATATACTAGTCACATCACCATCCCATAAAATACACAAACAACTGGAATATAACTTTTATTTAACAATGAACACCATAAGAGTTACAAAGAATGTTGTGTTTGGTGCCACCAGAAGCTCTGCTTGGGTTGTACTCTGCAATTTTAAGAATCAGTCTTGTGTTTGGTGCCACCAAAAGCTCTGCTTGGGTTGTACTCCTCAACTTTAAGGATCAGTCTTGTGTTTGGTGCCACCAGAAGCTCTGCTTCGGTTGTACTCCTCAATTTTAAGGATCAGTCTTGTGTTTGGTGCCACCAGAAGCTCTGCTTGGGTTGTACTCCTCAATTTTAAGGATCAGTCTTGTGTTTGGTGCCACCAGAAGCTCTGCTTGGGTTGTACTCCTCAATTTTAAGGATCATTCTTGTGTTTGGTGCCACCAGAAGCTCTGCTTGGGTTGTACTCCTCAATTTTAAGGATCAGTCTTGTGTTTGGTGCCACCAGAAGCTCTGCTTGGGTTGTACTCCTCAACTTTAAGGATCAGTCTTGTGTTTGGTGCCACCAGAAGCTGTGCTTCGGTTGTACTCCTCAACTTTAAGGATCATCAGATCTTGCCAGATATCCTTATTAAGTTGGTTTCATCTTGATGACATTCATGGATGAAAACGTGCTCTGCATCTGCTGTTGACACGCTGAATATATTCACCAACTCTACAAGTTTCAAGATGTTGCTGTGAGGGGAAGGTTTTGTTGACAGTGTGGTTGCAGACAGAACTAGTATATTTTTGTGTTTGAAACTTATTGTGTGCACTTTACTGGACTAAAATTCTTCCACAGTTCCTCCCTTCTCCTCAGTTAAAAGGACATCAAAATGGACTGGGATATGAATTAAGATTTTCTCTACATTTTGGCCAAAAGGTGTTGTTAAAATCACTGAGTGCCTGAGCTGACATGAAGTTGAAGTTTGGAAAACCTTTCATTGGTGTACTTGACCATTCTGTCAATTAGTTTAGCATTACTTGTTAAACAGGCTGCTGAGGGACAGTGATCACACAACTCAAGCATCACTTGACCTAAGTGAAAGCCACAACCTCCAGGTTTTGCTGCATGACCTCAAAGCTCTTGTCTTGGTTGAGACCTATTTCACGTCACTGAAGTGGGCATTTCACCTATAACCCTTGCAGTTTGATTTGCATCTTTTCTCCTTTTGGGCTATTCAAGCTAAGCATTGCAAGGTAATCATTTCACTGTATGTAGAACTGCCAGCTGAAGGCTGTGAGCTAAACAGTGGTAGAGGAGTAGGAATGGGATATCCTTTCTTTTAGTGGTGTTCCAACACTACCTTTGGAACCACTCATAACAGCTGCACCATCAAAATTAACTGATATTAATGTTGGACCTGATTTATTTGGAGACTTTAAATCATTAAATCCAATGATTAATTCTGTTAACAATATCATATTGGACACCTAATGCATGTATATGTTCCATTGGAACAAGATCTGCTTACAATGTATAGGACTCTTACAACCCTTACGAGCACAGTTTCCCCTTCAATGATAGCATTATCTGTGTTCCCACTGGCTACAATACAGGTGAACACTGACTCACTAACTGTATCCTTGATATCATGTCTAAGGACTTCTGCCTCACACCTAATGAATTCAGAGGCTTTCCTTTCATTGGTATAATTATCTCCTACATTCACAACAGCCTTCTCCATTGCTCTATACAGGTCTATAGAGGTTTGTCTTGTTCAAAAATTGAAGATGAATTGTTAAACAACACGTGTTAGTCACTTCTTTTCTACCTACTTTAGTTTGTGTATTGCCTGCACAGTAAGGGGTTGTCCTCCAGACTGAGTTGTATAACTCATTGCCTCCTTAGCACCACTCTCCTGATTTTACCATGACATGAGCTTTGCTGGTTTTGTTTACTCTGATTGACTCAATATGTAACTGATCACATCCATTTTAGAAAGCATTTCTGCCTGATCCAGAGTGTCAAGAATATTTCAGGCAAACCTCACAATACATTGTGGAAACTGATTTTCTCTGTGACTGGCTTTCTTTAAGAACTAACCATGACAAGGTGTCCTTCCAATGAGACTGAAATGCTCTTTTTTTTCTTTTATTGCTATCATATTTTTTGTGGCAGAGAGCTGACTGCTGCTACTAGCAGTTGCATCATCATCACTGGTAGTTGGGTTGCCACCTTTATCCTCACTTTTTTTGCTAAACCCAAAGTTTAAAAGACTCAAGATGACTTATCCTTTCCACTTAAGATAAAGTTCTAATGTTTTAGAGATGACTTATCCTTTCCACATAAGATAAAGTTTTAATGTTTTAGAGATGACTTATCCTTTCCACTTAAGATAGAGTTCTAATGTTTTAGATATGACTTATCCTTTCCACTTAAGATAGAGTTCTAATGTTTTAGAGATGACTTATCCTTTCCACTTAAGATAGAGTTTTAATATTTTAGAGATGACTTATCCTTTCCACTTAAGATAAAGTTCTAATGTTTTAGAGATGACTTATCCTTTCCACTTAAGATGGAATTCTAATGTTTCATAGGTGACTTATCCTTTCCACCTAAGATAAAGTTCTAATGTTTCATAGGTGACTTATCCTTTCCACTTAAGATAAAGTTCTAATGTTTCATAGATGACTTATCCTTTCCACTT